CAACCATTTCTGAAATGATAAAAAACGTGTCAGAAACTCGGAATTTTCTACAATCACGCCAAGTTCCTAATCATAGATGGGAGTCGTTTTGTGATCTTGAAAATTACATAAATAACATCTATTTTTGCAACAGAAATGTACAAACAAAAATTACAGACTTTATGAAGTAGATTTCAAATTGAATTTTGTTAATCTTTTTGTGTCCTTTTTAGTCATACCTACTGACTTTTACTACTCTATGTAAAAATAACGAAATAAAATACACCACGTGTTTTTGTATTATTATTCGCAGTTTTAGTTCATTTTTCAAGTTCGTTATATCCGGACTCAACTGAGTATAAGTGTTGAAACGTATGTTCACTATGGCATAGCGCAAAGAAATGATTAAACAAATTAGACTTTGATGTAAACAAAATTTTCTGTACGGGGCAGGAAGTAATTGCATATTTGAATTGAAGTTCTGATCAACTTTTTTATTAACAATTTTCCATATTGTAAAAATAAAAGTACTTTACTCTTAAGCAAACTTCATATTTTCTAACAAACCACGTATCAATTGGCGACACATAAAAGTAGACTCAAAAAATGTATTATTTGATGATTGTATTTACTTTTTTTAGAAAAATTTATAATAAAAGTTTTTCATACGTTGTCAACGTAAGTAGACACATTGTATAAGCAAAATCATATTATTTTTCGATTCCTTATTTGTTCTCTTAAGAGTATCCAGTGTAAACATTGGACCTGTAAAGCAAACGTTCGCATAATAATGCTGCTAATCCTAGAACAACATAAATAAATATTAAAACTTACCAGACTCACTATGTGAAACGAACTCAACCCTTGACAGGTTTGCAGAATCAAAATCATTGTAAAAGGTAAATTGGGAACATTGTATACCGTCCATTGCGCTAAAATATCCTTTGAATTATTGGAACATTAAAGATAATGAAATAACGAATGTAGAAATATCCTAAAAAGCAAAGTCTTTTGTGTCTGTCAATCCTAGGGAACAGTCAGTAGAAAGGATGTGACCTAGAAACCTTTAGGCGTGTAACTAGTGGGAAAATGTTAAATGCATGTAGTCAAGCCATGTTAGATGGTGGTTTTTCAAAATGCTAAATACTATTTTGAAAAACCCAAAATAAATATCTGACACCAATCAGCTGATTTTTATGTACAAATTTGGAAAGCAGATATTGCTTTAGATGTGGACATTGCCCACATATACAGCCGTGTCAATAATGAAATCCACGATTTTAAAGTCACTAATTTAACTATAACAAACCTGTTGCATTAAGTAAGAAAACTTTGTTTCACAAACAGATCATTTTCTTGTTACCTCCGCTCATGTCATCCAATTTCACGACAATCTCATAGACACCCCCTTGACAACTCAATGGGTAGCCTTGACCACAAAATTAGTTCCGTAAACAAATGCAAGAGGCGCGTTGTTCTTCTTCTTCTTCTTTGGG